CGGTCGCCGTGCTGAAGCTCGTAGCCAGAGACCTCGACCGCAGGCGACCCGACACGACCCCAGGATCAGGCTTCTTAAGGCTGAGGACGCTCGTTGGGGGTTTAGGGTTTAGGGTTTAGGATTTAGGGTTTAGGGTTTAGGGCTGAGGGTTTAGGGTTTTTTAGGGGTTAGGATTTAGGGTGACCCTGGGGAGGACGGCTCAGCAGGGCGTAGGTCTGGGTTCGGCCCAAAGGCCCTCCAAGACCCTGAAGCCCAACCAAAAAGGGTTTAGGGTTTAGGGTTTTAGGGTTTAGGGTTTAGCGTTTAGGATTTAGGGTTTAGGGTTTAGGGTTTAGGGTTTAGGGTTTAGGGTTTAGGGTTTAGGGTTTAGGGTTTAGGGTTTAGGGTTCAAACTGAACCTCACCACGTCACAACACCGAACGTCTCAAACCTCCAAAACAAGCGCAAGAAACCCCTGCATAGCGCCTCCGGCTTCTCGCTCTGCCGGCAGATCCTCAAAGCTAACGTGTGCAGGCTGTCGGGGGGCGGGGTGCGGGGGGGCGGGGGGGGTGCCGGGGGGAGGGAAGTCCAGTGGGGCTCTATGTCTTCTTCCCTTGAATTGGTTGGGTTGGGCCAAGCCAAGCCAAGTCAAGCTGAGCTAAGCTAAGCCCAGCCCAGCCAAGCCAAGCCAAGCCACCCGACATCAGTATGAGGGAACACCCCCACTTTTCCCACATGCAAACTCATGCTTCAGGACAAGAATCCCCCTGGCTGGAAGGGCTTGGTTGAGGGTTGATTCGGTGGCTTCTCTTTTCTGTTGCACATCCAAGCATCTGAGCATCCTCCTCCACACCTGCTGATGGAGAGGTGATGCTTCAAGCACTGGGAAGAGAGAGCGGTTGGCTGGGCTCTAGCTCTTTGCATCCCATCGCAGCCATTTCAGGGCTTTGCGCGGCCTCGTGGCTTGGAGTACGCAAGATTAAGACCCTTCAGGGCTTCAGGCCTCAAACCTTAAAGGCCGACGCGCCCGACGCCCTAAAGCCACATGAAGCTGAAAAGTAGAGAACCCGTTTGGGTCGCACTGCCACACAAGCCCACTCACGCAGAGCCCCTTTCATTGCAACTCAAGAGCTACACAGTTTGGGGGCTTCAGCTTCCCCTTGTGATACTATGTCAGGTTCAGAGACTGCTATGATGCGTGGGGGAGTCACGGCTGGAATCCTTCTTGATCCTGATGATCCCTAAACCCGACCCCTCCCCTGTAAACCCGAGCTGAGCCCAGAAAGGCATCGAACTCACCCACGCGCCGCAAGTCCTGAAACCTGAAGGACCGAAGAGTTCGGGGTTTAGCTTAGGGTACGCTTGTGGTCGAAGGAGTTTGGGGAACGTAAACATCAATCCGATCACAGAACCGTCGCACCTAGGTCGCTCAGGACTTGCTGGAGGCTCCTGGAAGAAGCAGCTGAGGTTAGGGTCCAGGGCTCTCCGGCGCCTCGAGGGTTGAGGAGAATGAAGCGGTCAGTTTAGGGTTTGGGATGTTAAAAAGGTAGAGGAAGTGTAGGTCTCAGGCGCGTTTCAGGGGTGGCTTTGGGGCTTTTAGGCTTGTTGGATTGAGGACAGAGGGCTCAAGTCATCAACGTTTGAAAGGCAAACCCAAGGAAGTGTTCTCTCGTCTCTCTGCAGCGGTATCGGGATGCTTTGTGTGGGACCAAGAGCTTCAGGTTTAGGCTCTGCAGCAAGCAAAGTCTGGGGGAATTCTCTTCAGTCCTGCCATTGACGAAGGTCTCCGTGGCACCACGCTCGCAGGACGGGAAGAGGATGCACTTGTCTCCGTCCTTGGATGCTCGAGTGCAATGGAGTTCCGGGGCCTAGGGTTGAAGTGGAGGTCTTAGGGTCCACGCGGTTGGTGCTGATCATGCCCGTTCTACCGAACAACCCCTGTGCTGCGGCGAGTCCCCAAGGCTGGGGCAAGGGTTTCGGGTTCTAAAGGGAAACACAATTTGGCAGTGGTTGGAGAGCCCTGCACGTGGATGTGCCTGGCAGTTCCACAAAGGCTCCTTTGCCCCGAGCCTTGAACAGCCGAAGGCCCCCCACCCCAAAGAACCCTGGGGCTGTTGGTGTGGAGGGCTGTGGAATGTTATGTTGGCTACGAGACCCAGGAGTACCCTAGGAATAAAAGGGTGCCCTTCTTTAAAACAAGGAAATAAGGGCCTACTCCAGCGTTGCGTTCATGAAATTCTCATCAGTAGGGCTTGAGGCTGAGGCTCATGTGTCTACTTTTTGGGGTCTTGCAATCTTGGTGGATGTTGAGGGGTGTATTTCAGGCTGCGGGGGACAAAAGCAAGGTCGAATACCTCGCTGGTACCAAAAGCGAAAACATGCTGGCTCTTGACCCCGCTGACTGGAAATACTCCTGGAGCCCTGAGCCATAAACCCAGAACACTGATGATGAACCCTAAAGCTCTAGAACACCCAAAAAAACCAACATTCGACATCAGTGGGCATCTGCGAAAATAGGGGTACCCCCTTTACACCCCAATTAGAATAGAATCCCCTTATAAAGGGAACCCCCCAGAAAGGGCACCCCCAATTTTTGGAAACCCCCCGCAGCCGTTAAACCCTAAACCCTAAACCCCTAAACCCTGAACCCTGAAGCCGAAACCCTACACCCTGAACCCTAAACCCTAAACCTTGAGGTTTCTGAACCCTGTCTACTGTAAACCCCCCGGTAAAGCCCAGCGGCGGTGAAGACAACGGCGTGGTTCCTGGCCACGCCCTCGCCCAGCTCGATGTTGGGTGGCGTCTCCTAGTCGGCGGAGCCACTGAGGATTGAATTCGGGTTTCGGGTTTCGGGGTTTGGGGTTTAGGGTTTAGGGTTTAGGGTTTAGGGTTTAGGGTTTAGGGTTTAGGGTTTAGGATTTAGGGTTTAGGGTTTAGGGTTTAGGGTTTAGGGTTTAGGGTTTAGGCTTAGGGTTTAGGGGAGGTTTGAGGGCCCACAACTGTAAACTTTTCGAAAGCAGATGCACACCGCGTGTTCCTCCCAGCTTGGAGTCTCTTGGGGGTTTTCCCTGGTTTAGGGTTTAGGGTTTAGGGTTTAGGGTTTAGGGTTTAGGGTTTAGGGTTTAGGGTTTAGGGTTTAGAACAAGCCTCTAAGCTCCCTAAACCTCAGACCTCAGAGCAACCGCCGAACAGGCCTCGGCAACGAGAACAAACAAACAGAGGGGCTTTGAGCCATAAAGACCCAAAGCACATTTAGGGTTTAGGGTTTAGGGTTTAGGGTTTAGGGTTTAGGGTTTAGGGTTTAGGGCTTAGGGCTTAGGGTTTAGGGTTTAGGGTTTTTCGGTTTATCGGTTTAGGGTTTAGGGTTTAGGGTTTAGGATTTAGGGTTTAGTGTTTAGGGTTTAGGGTTTAGGGCAGTTCAACCTGGCACTCTTAGACAAGAACAACGGAGCTGGCACAGGCACAGGGTTTGTTGCCTTGAGTTGGGGATCAGGATTCCGAGCTTACAGCCCAGGACGCGAACTTTGCAGCGCGGCTGAACTTCCCCAAAGATGGCGAAAGATGGCCCCAACCTCACTCCCAAGTGGGTCTGTTGGTGGTGGCACATCATGCGTCCAGCGACCTTCGTCGCGTCGGATGGGGCTGGGGGGCCCTGCACCTGGAGGTCTGGACCATGAAGGGCTCCCCAAACTCAACTGCTGGGGAAAAAAATTCCGCGTGTGCGATTCGGAAGCTACTGAAAGAATCAGGCTACATCCCCGGTGGCCTAGCAGCTGGCCAAGGGCGAGGCTGTAGGTACAGCACAGCAAGATAGGGCTCCATTCAGCTACGTACTCTCCCTCGGCCCAGCCCCCATGTGGGTGTGCATGCTGCTTGGCCACATTTCATAGCCACGAAAGACCGCGCAGCTGAAATCCGCATTTGTTGAATAATATAGGGTTCATACGGGAACCTAGCCCTTGCGATGTCGGGCAGATGGACGGTTGAGGACTTTTTCAGGCTTTAGGGACTCGGGAGTTCGGAATTCGCCACCTTCGCCCCGCAACGCCCCACTCCTCCTCTTCGGTCCCAGCGTCCGCAGACCCTGAGGCAGGTCAGTAGGATTCTGTGGATTTAAGACTTTCACTCGGTTTGAAGGATCGTGTGTTGGGGTTTAGGACGCGGGGTTGAAGGATTGAGGCCTGGGGGGCTGGGCTTAGAATGCCATCCATTAATTCTCGACTTCCATTCCCTTGAACCCTTGAACCCTCCAACCCTCAGTTCCCCCCACCCCACGGGCGCCTCCGCTGGCGTCGCTGTCTGAGTCCGTGTCTGAGTCCGAGTCACTATCCGAGTCCTCCCCTCCTGGGCTGCTGGTGTAGGGTTGAGGGTTTAGGGTTGAGGGTTCAGGGCCTGGTGTTCAGGGTTTCAGGTTTGCGCACATGAAAGCTGGGGCTTCAGGCTCTGAAGGAGCCTAACATCGGCTTTGGTGCTGATTGGGCGAAAGTCTTTCTCGGGGCTTCTTTTATATATATATATATATATTTATTTATTTATTTATTTATTCATTTATTTATTTTTTTTTTGGGGGGGGATGGGGCTATTTTCAAACTAGGGTTCCTTTTGCTTGTTCTTTTTGTTGGGGGGGGATCCTTTGAGCGGCCCGTGCTCTTCGACTCAGCTCAACGGCCCCGGTGGCACTTGTGAAAGATTCCGTCATCCATGTCGCCACCCGCGAGCCATGGTACCAGCTAGGGAAGGCAAATCGAAAGCACAGCGCTCGTTGCGCGACCGATTCTCAAGCAGAAAAAGAAGGGTTTAGGGTTTAGGGTTTAGGGTTTAGGGTTTAGGGTTTAGGGTTTAGGGTTTAGGGTTTAAGGCTTAGGGTTTAGGGTTTAGGGTTTAGGGTTTAGGGAGCCTATCCGAAGCAACTTGGCGAGGCACTGAGGGTGTTGTTTGCTTCGGGTCTGGGCTTCGGGTTGAAAGCTTAGACAGCCATAGGCCAGCTGCGGGCTTGGGGCATCCTAGAACCCCAGGGCGCTAGGAAGCGAAAACCTTCTGCGGGAGGCTCCCACGCCACCAATGGTGTTGCGCAGCGCAGTGAAAGGGTGGCGAATGCGTCCAGTGAGGGTCTTGTCCTCAGGATGCAGGGCATGTGGCTGAGCAAAGCCAAACCAGAACTTCTCACCCCCCTCAGCATGAAAGGCTCATAACCCACAAATACTGCACTTACATGTACTTCTTGCTACCCACAGCCTTCAAATTTCAAGCCCCCCCGCCCCGCCTGCTCCTTTATTTTTGGCTCACCACCCCCCCCCCCCCCCCCACTGCTCATGGGCCCGCCGCGCCGGGCCCCGGCTCGGCCGCCCGCCCCCCCCCATTTAAGATGGACACTTAAAGGCTATGCTGCACGTGCGTGCCTTGTAAACAAATACTTGGCAAAAGAAACACCTAATCGACGCAGCGTACCCGCAGAATAGATACAATGCACCCTTAGCATCAGCACACTGTGTCCTGGGCGGGGACGCGGAGGGCGCGGAGGGCGCGGAGGGCGCGGAGGGCGCGGAGCGCGCGGAGGCGCGCGCGCGGAGGCGCGCGGAGGCGCGCGGAGGCGCGCGGAGGCGCGGAGGGCGCGGAGGGCGCGGAGGGCGTGGACGGAGGGCGCGGAGGGGCGTTCACGTGTCCCGGCTCCCTGCCCCTCCGTCAACCTCCAGGAAAGGTCCACGCCTCCCCACGCCACGCCCCTCTCCCAGCAAAATGTTCCGAACCCCCTCCCTTGACCGTGTCGTCTCCGCGGCCTCCCGCCAAAATTCATGCCGTCCGACCCTGGCCTCTTTCGCCATGTTGAAGCGCCAAACGAGAACCCAATTTCAGAATTGGTTTTCGGAAAAGATCCAAGAAAACAAAGAGCACGCGCAGAATAGACGTCAAGCGTGCAAGGCACCCGGCCCCCCGCTCCACCCCGCCCCACCCCGAACTAAGAAAAAAAGTACGGTTGCTTCGCCAGGATCCGACATTCCCATGGGTACACAACTATCAAATGCAGACATTTCTGTTTTTGTGTCAACTGTGACCGACCTGACAAGTGTAGAATCCGAGCATGCCCACCCATCAGCTAGCAAAACCGTGTGAGTGCCGGCCGGCACCAACTGGGCTTCGAACCTCGTTGAGGTTGACCTCGGCTTCATGGAAACGAGCAAGTTTTCGAAACCCCAAACCTGAAACCCTAAACCCTAAACCCGAGAAAGAACCCACGGGAGATGACCCTGGTTCATCACTCTTCCCCTGCCTGTGGTTCAGGGTTCAGGGCTCTCACCCTAAACCCTAAACCCTGAACCCTAAACCCTAAACCCTAAACCCTAAACCCTAAACCCTAAACCCTAAACTCAAACACCCCCAGCCCAGCCATGCTGCCAGCATGGGCTGCGTCTCCCCCACGCGTAGGGAGCTTCTCCGGCGGCTGCGCGCCGCCTCTCTCGCCCCAACTTCTTTTAGGGTTTAGGGTTTAGGGTTTAGGGTTTAGGGTTTAGGGTTTAGGGTTTAGGGTTTCGGGTTTCGGGTTTAGGGTTTAGGGTTTAGGGTTTAGGGTTTAGGGTGTAAGGTTTAGAGGGCTGTTTACAGCAGTGTTTGGGGTGGGGATTTGGGAGTCAAGGCACAGGGTTTACGAGTTGTGCAGCGGGTTGTAGCTTTCGCCATCTTTCGTGTAGGCAGCGTGGAGCATGAATGCTGCTCGATGTTCGCGCCCTGAGCCCGAAACGTTCACAACGAGCCTCGCCAACCCCAAGGGACCGCACCGCTAAGAATGGTCGTCCTCTTGATGTCGCGAAAGTGTGAAACCAAACCCCCCTCCCCTACAGGGAACCCCGTTTTGGAAAGAATATGCGGCGGGGGACGGGTCTATGCTCAATGCGGGGGGGGGGGTGAAAACTCCGGGAGGTGTTCAGCAAGGCCGCGCTTCAGAACACATGCGAATATGGAGGGTTTAGCGTATCATGCTCCAAGTTTTGAACCCTAAACCCTAAACCCTAAACCCCAATCCCAGATACCGAAGCACCGAAGTCTCAAACCCCGAGGGCCTCCTGCTGCTCCTTGGCCTCAGCCACCTTCTCGGCCCAACCTTGCCATGGCAACCCAGCAACCAGGGTATTGTAAGGGCAACCATTTTTTTGGGTTTAGGGTTTAGGGTTTAGGGTTTAGGGTTTAGGGCTTAGGGTTTAGGGCTTAGGGTTTAGGGTTTAGGGCTATTTCATAAGGGAAACCATAGACCAGAAAAAAAAGGGGCAGAGGGGTACCACGGGGCTACCAAGCTTGGCTAGGTGATCGGAAACTGGCGAGTCATAGGTCGGCTCGAGAGCGCGCACGAGGCTGCATACTTGGAGGTTTCATAGCACTTATTCCCCCAGTTATAACTGTATTATTCACCCAATTATAACCATATTAAATGGGCTATAAGTACAGTTATAAGGGGTTGATAAGTACCATGAACCTCAACAAGTAAAAACCCTCAAAGCCCTGAAGCCGCCCTAAACCCTAAACCCTGAACCCTAAACCCTAAACCCTAAAACCTAAACCCTAAACCCTAAACCCTAAAACCTAAACCCTAAACCCGAAACCCGAAACCTGAAAACCTAAACCCTAAACCCTAAACCCTAAACCCTAAACCCTAAACCCTAAACCCTAAACCCTAAACCCTAAACCCTAAACCCTAAACCCTAAACCCCTAAACCCAAACCCCAAACCCTTTTGTTCTGGCTCCAGGGGGCTCTTGTTCTGATCCGCCAGGGCTGCCTCGATGGCCGCAATCTCTTGCTGCCGGGCACCCATCTCCTGAACGGTTAACTGTATACTGATACGAATATTCTTATTTATTATTCTTATTTACTATTACTATTACTATTTCCATTATTATTATGATGATGATTAATATTATATTATTATTCCTATTATTATTCCTACTCTTGCTGTTATGCAGGCTATTCTCACCATTCTTGTTATTAGTATTATAATAAGGGGTTTAGCAGCAGAGTCCTATACCTTTCGGGTGCCTTGAAGCCCACCATCTCATATCCTAAAACCTATCCTAAAACCAATAATTCCAAGAGTCTGAATAGGGCTCAAGGGTTTCATTAGGGTTTTAGGGTTGGGTGTAGGGTTTAAGGTTTAGGGTTTAGGGTTTGGGGTTTAGGGATATTCGAGGGCCTCCGAAAGAGCAACTTCTACAACAATCCCCTCAGCCCAGTTGCTTTGATGGACTCGGCATTGGGCATCTCGCCGCCTTGTGGAAGGAGGCACTTAGGGTCTAAGGGTAGTTACATGGTCCCTTAGTATGGGCCCTTATTGACAAGGGTACCCCTTATATACAGCCTATATACCCTATACAAATTAAGGGCCCATACATCAGAGCCCTTTAAATGAGGCAAGGGAGCCTATCAAGGGCGGTCTTCAGGGACTTTGGTGCTGGAACGATGCTCGAGATCTGGTCAGCCCTCTCAACCTCAGCACCATTCCCTTGGCAAAAAGGTGGCGGTCTCAAAGGTGCGGAGTCTTGCGGATTGGGGAAGCCTTTCAGCACGAACCGGTCTGAAAAGAGCCGAGGGTGGTGGGGGAGCTTCGGGATTTCAGATGATTTCAGCATCTTTCGTCTCTTCGGGGGAGGCGGGTCTGATTTCGCTGACTGCACCCTCTGAAGGATCTGCGCCCATGAAACCCTAAAAACCCTAAACCCTAAACCCTAAACCCTAAACCCTAAACCCCATGACTCCGTGCGGCCGTCCCGCGCGCCATGTCCTGGAAAATCTTCTTGAGCTTCTCGTTTTCTTCGCGGAGCTCTCTCATCAGCCGCTCCTCGCAGTCTCGGGAGGAGCCCGGGAGACTTGGGTTCATGGTGGGCCCTGTATTTGGGGTTTAGGGTTTAGGGTTTAGGGTTTAGGGTTTAGGGTTTAGGGCTTAGGGCTTAGGGTTAGGGCTTCGGGTTTCGGGTTTAGGGTTTAGGGTATAGAGCTTAGGGTTTAGGGTTTAGGGTTTAGGGTTTAGGGTTTAGGGTTTAGGGTTTAGGGTTTAGGGTTTAGGGTTTAGGGTTTAGGGTTTAGGGTTTAGGGTTTAGGGTTTAGGGCTTAGGCTCAGCGTTGTACAGGAAGGTCTGGGCTCATACAGGTTGCATGCACCCGGCTTCGACATTAAGCGTTGAATAGCTACATGGGCCCGTACTTGGGGACTTCTTATATACCGCTTATTTTACCAAATCCAAGGGCCCATACTTCAGAACCATGGAACTACCCTTAGAAACCAACAAGTTATCCCTACCTCGAGCATCCCCCCCAAAGGCAACCCAAGGCAATCCCTTAAAGGGCATACATAGGGCCCTAATTCCCTCATCCCCTACTCAGAACCAGAGGGGGGATGGGCAAGTCCAAGCAAGTTTTCTCTTAAAGGGGGGGATGGGAACCCTGCGATGCTCAGAAAAGGATTCTCTTAGTGGATGCTCGTGGTGTGGGGGAGCTCCAGCGACTCGAGGGTCAATTTGGGGCGGGATTCTCCGGGTTGATGCACTCTAGAGATACTCGGTGGCATTCTGGGGGTGAGACTTTCTGTGGGATGGCTATCCGAAAATTGAAAGCAGAAGAAGAGAGGCCTTAGGGTTGAGGGGTTTTTTGGGACTTGGCCGCAGGATCCAGGGCGTCAGAGCCAAAAATCAGGGTCCGGTGCTTCAGGACTCTCAAGACTT